GTACATGTGAAGGAACTTGCTTGAATAACTATCCGCTCAGCAAAAAAATTTTCCAGTTAAATACACTGCGTTAATATATGCGGATACAGTACCGATACGCAACTGCGTTCTTGACTGAGCGAGTAATTGTTATTGAAATTCAGTGCTTACAACGCGTTTATCAACTTCCCGAAGTGCTTAGGCTCTAGATCTGTACAATATTTGTGACGGAGGTAGACATTAGGGGGATAAACCGCCTGCTTTCTTCATCATGTGTAAATGTTAGGTCTTAGAAGATGGCAATGTGATTTTCTTTGAGTTTCAGAATCTGATTTCTGCTCAGTAACAACATAGTTATTATGCACAAACCGAGTCTTAATTTACCACCTGTGATTTTGAATGACAAGCAACTCCAACCGTCGCATGGTCGCCCCGGTTATGAGTTCGAAATCAATGAGCCCACTGGCATGCACTTAATTTGCCCGCAGACTGTATTGTCGGGCACGAATCATGCCTTGAGAATGAATTTCAAGTGCTGAAGGGTTTAGGTGTGTCCAAGCTATATTTTTAGAGTTCATTGCAAGAAATTAGGTGAGATGTGACGTTAACAGGTAAAATGACCTCGTTTGCTAGGAGAATTAGCCCTCTAAAGTTCTCCGAGAACTTCTTTTACGAAGTGGCTGGGGTGCCTGAACCTCCAAGCATAAATATAGGGCGCCAACAATCAACCACTATATCAGTCTACAAGATTGGGTGTCCCTGGGTAATGCAATGGAGAAGAGAAGATTGCGTTCTCTGTACACCATGGGCACGCCTCTGGCGCGCTGGCTCTACGTGGCACCCTGGTCTATTACCTAAGTCGCTGATACGCTAGTGATTTCAAATGAAACCTATACCGGTTTTAGCTTTTCCTACATGGACGCCTTCAGTGCATTCAGTACGCAAGATTATATTCGTGTTCTCACGGCGCAGAATACAAATTCACAAACCCAATTGGCTAAAAGGACATTTTCTGCTACCTTATTATGAATTTATACATTTTATCTGCGCATGTTGCCATAATTTTACTCCGATACTAAGTTCGTTTAGACAATACACTCCTGGCGCTAACAAAAATAAATTCTAAATTCCAAAGCAAACCACATTTGAAAAGCATACCTCATGTCTTCCATATGCTTCTTGTTTGTTCCGCCACATATGTACTCGGTAATATACACTTCCGGCGGTGCGATAGCAGTCTTCGGTTGACAGACAGCAAAGAAGTGCGGTCTCAATCTGCCAGTGGCCACTTTTCCCACGTTAACAAGCACGCCGGTAATTGAAAAACCCAGGGCTAGAGTATATACGTACTTATACACACAAAAACCAACCTAGGATTGCGTAAGTAGTGTAATCGTCTCAACACTTACCGCAAAAGTTCCACGGAAGCGTCTACTGAAGCCGTACAATTTTCCGCGCAACAACTCCAGAATGAGGATCTTTTAGCGTAATGTTTGAAACAAATTAAGGCGATATATTACCGTAACAACCGCAACGCTTGGGGCTACAGAGCCGAGGACCAGAGTGGGTACAGTGGACGGCCGGTAAGGATAGGAAAGACTTGTATCATTGAGAAAAAACCCACGATGGAAGGGCTCAAGGTAGGAAATTCCAATTGAAACAGACGCAACTATTAAAAGGCATCAGTGAGGAATGCACTAACTTACCAAATGCGAAAGTAAAAATTTCCGGCAGCATTCTCAACCAAAGCCATGACAGCGCACACATAGGTCTGATTAATTGCAAAAGTGCCTGCGGTCTATGCAGAGGCAACCATGTCGGTCGGTCTGGGTCAAATGACGCGCTTCGTGGTCGTCGTCATCCAATACCATTCGAGCTGGTCTCTGAGTGGAAGAGTTCAGCCACTCGGAAAGGACATACATACAGCCCCTGTCTCTTACAGTATGAAAATCAAAGTGAATTACTGTCGCCTGCTGCGCCCAAATTCTTCTTTCAGAGTTATTTGTGCAAGAGAACGAATACAAAACGGATCCTAGGAGCTATACGCTGGTTATTAAACAACAGAACTCTGCCTGACTCAAGGGTGATAACGCATATGTAAACTTAATGTTAGGTCAACATTGAAAAGTTGACATTGAGAGGTCGGGACGTTTTGCATGCTAATTTTTTTCGGTCAGATTTCGGGAAACGAAAATGTTGATGTGTTCTTTACTCAGAGGCCCCGTAAACTACCTTCCCGCTCTTGGCTTTTGTTGTCACCATTGGACGATAAACCGCGCACCGCAGTTGATAAGTGAAGGCTCTAGCATAAACCTGTATAATGGAGCGTGGTTGTTCATTGTATTCGCAAAATACTACCTTATACTTTTCATATTTAGGCAAGGCTTGTGATTCAGCCGGTTAGTCTCGCATCGCCTTCTACCCTGGGACTTTGAAATTGTTGAAACTGCTATCAAAATTACCACTGGCCCTAAAGTCGCAAGTGGCTACATACATTTTTTTATCAGGGGAACACCAATAGTAAACCTTCGTTTTCCTGGTTGTCTTCTCATAACTATGGGTTTGAAGCAGTCAGAAGTTTGCGTGAATCTTCCCTCGAAAATCTTCGTAGACAACGGTTGACACACAGAGCTGCGGATGTGATGTTTGAAGGCCTCATTCATTTAAAGTTAAGAGAGTGAATGTTAGCGTTACCTGCTACAGCACAAGAGGAAGACGAATCTCTACAGTTTTGATGGCATGCCAGGAGATTTATACACAGTACGCGCCAGAATTTGTGCAACATGCCGGCATATACGAAATATTGGTTCTCTTTCGCTAATCGTCATTGACATAGGTTGTGATACTAATTATCGTGCTCTATTCTGATGTCATTTCAATCACGATAGGATTTGGGCTGTTTGACGCGCCTCTATAACACCGCCTACAAAATTTACGTACTGTACAAAGTGGCTACATATATAGTATGCATTTTTTATCATTGATTTTGACTGCCTTTATAAATTCAAATATATTTTATGGATTACTTATAGAAATTACTTATTGTACTCGTTTGGTAGCTAATAACACCTTCTTTAATTTTTATACTTTAAGAAAGGGTATCTTTTGGTTTTAAAAAGTTTTTAAATTGCCGAATGATTTTGAAACCTACTTACTGCTACATTCGAATTCAACGTTTACAAACCCCGCACTGTGTACATCCTGTTTAAGGAAAAGTACGTTTTCGCCTACTGTTTGAGGAAGAAGTCACATAGTCCTCACAAATTCTTGCAACGAATGTCGAAAATTCTTTATGCAGTATAGGCAGTATTAATAAATTGAGGGAGACTACGTTTTATGAATGAACACCTCATAATCGTAAAAAGCGCATAATTAGAAATTTTTTTTAAAACCGAAGGACACCCTTTCTTGAAGTATATAATCTAAAGAAGGCGTAATTTGCAACCAAAAGAGTACAAGAAATATTTTTTCGTTTAACTTTTCCATAAAATATATTTGAATTAATAAAGGCAGTCAAAATCAATGATAAATACGCATGCCATTTAAATAGTTCCTTTTTACAGCATATACATTTTGTAAGCAGTCAGAAATAAACTCGTTAAAAAGCCGACATCTTATCATGACTGAAATAACTTTAGACTGTACTTCATGATAATCAGTATCAGAAGCTGAATCAATGCCGACTAGCGAAACAGTATCAAGCTTTCGCATATGTCGGCATGTTACACGAATTCTGGCGCATACTGTAGAGCTGCGTTGGTCCATATTACCGCGTCAAGGAGATGGTGAATGCGATTTGCAACGACCACAGCCAGAAATCGCTTTCTACACGGCGACCTGTTTTCCCTTACTTCGGCATCATTAAGCGTCCCTGTTAAAATTCTGCACGATCCGACGTTATGTTAGTAAATGAATGTGTAGTTTGTTGGTTAATAGTTCAGTGTAGTTCAGTATATTTAGGGTAGTAGGCAATGCCTTTGAAGACCCTATTGAAAACAATATGCATGAAATATCCAACATAAAATATGTCACTAATAAATCAGTGAGTAACATATATACATGTACAAATTTTAACGTGTGCGTGAGGGCAGTCAACATATATGCATGTACAACTTTTAACGTGTGCGTGTGAGCAGTCAGAATAGTCTCTTTGTACATAATATATCCAACATAAAATGTGTTAATGTAAAATAGTGAGAAGCATATACAAACATAAAGTTTTATCTATAGGTATTTCCGAGGCGTAAATTATTCCTGCTTCCTTGTACATATGAACGGTAACTGTTAAGTAG